TATACACCTAAATTTGAATCGGTAAAAGTTTTTCCTATAACCTAACTGTATAAATAATGTTAAACGTTTACAAAACGTTTTTGTGCCCACTGGACAATACCTGTATTGATTTGATAAATCTAATTCTTACTTATTTCACATTGGCTAATTCCTACTTATATACTGAAAAATTAGTCGGAATTAGTGCAAAATTGGAAGTCGAAATTACGTTTTTTAACAAATTCAAAGAGTCCAAATCCCAGTTAGAAAAATTTCTAACGTTGGTTTCAATTTCTAATTTCGAGTTGTGCTCTAATAGGTTTCGAGTTGTGCTCTATTTTATCTCATGATGATAACATGAGATAAAATAGTGATAACACATAAGATGATGATGATGATATGTATCAACTTAATGAATACTCTAAATTAGATGTAGAAGTTGAAAAGTACTATAATAAAAATATGATAATATAGTGAAGAGCTGCGGGTCATCACCTCCGTAAAGAGCTGTATAACGTCCCTTGATGGTAATCAAATTAATTTACATAGCAGGCTTAAACGCTTGGTACACAGAGCATTTTAGTTTTCCCTCACTTGATCGGGAATATTACAGAAAAAATATCTAATTTATGGGCTGCGATCTCAATCTTATTTAATCTGCAATTCGATTTGCCCATCTATTTATTACTCAATTATATTAAACCTTCTCAGTACTCACATTAACGCTCTGAAACTTTGCAGAAACAATTGCGTAATCATACAAAAAACGAAACGGTATTGGAAGGAAGGCATTAGAATTGAATTTTTCAAAACTTTTAAAAAATTGTTTACTCTTATTATTTAATATTCAAGACATTTCAAAAAAATAGATTGTTAATGTTAAAACTAAAATAGATTGAGCTTCTATATTTGTCTTTTAGACAACAAATCAAGATCTTATACTATTGGATTTCAAGTGGACAACCTTACAGTAAAACACTTTTGTAGATGATGTTCAGCAGGTGGGACGTAGAAGTGGAATTTGTTTGGAAATCTTTAAGAAATCGAATCTTAAAAAGAGATTTCGCTTTTCGGTTTTCTATGATATAATTCCAAAAGATATTGAAAGAACTTTGAAATCCTCAACAGAATGGTGGAGTGTAAATAAACAGAGAAACAGTTGACCACGGCATCTTACTATCAAACCAAAACATTTTAGTATCATAAGAATCTATATATAAATAAGTAATAAACTATTTGAGTAACAGAAAGCGTTCAGAAAAAAGTAACAGAAATTTTTTAATTTTCGCGTAATATTTTTTAAAGAACTCAGAGAATTTTTCAAAAATTTTGCATTGGAATCGGAGACGTACTCTGTAAATTTCAACGATTGGAGTCGGAGTAGGCTCTCTTTTATTTACGACTCCACGCCCCTAGTTCAGAGCAAATAAAATTTTAACTGTGAAAAAACTAATTACATTTTGTTTCATTAAAAAGTCAATAAATATCTCTACCGTTTTAAAATTTAAAGTTGCTCATTAAAAACAAAACAATAAAACGGTAAAAATAAACAAAGTTTCTTGGTGTTCAATAAACGAAAACTTATCATCGAGAAATTATATTAGGCACATTAAATCAAAAAGATCATCTGAAGAAGGTGTTTTGTATAGGGTTGTTCGCCGAAAAACAAAACTTGCGAAAATTTCGCATCTTTATCTACCGTAATAGAATTGTTGTTGCGGAAGTTGCACATGCAAAAATGCACATTCCGTAACGCGCAATACGAAAATATAAATAAATAAAATTCCGTAATAAAGCATTGCGAAAGAAAACTTGCGAAACAAATCATTTCGTAAGAATACTTACGAAATAGCTCCTTACGGAAGATGCATTCCGGAATTTGCAGTTACGAAAAAGACGCAAAAGATTTTATGTTACGATATATTTAAGATATTAACTGTTAACAGTTTAAATAATAAATAATAAAATTATAAAAAAATGTTGTCAAATGATTCTTCAAATGTTTATATCTTAAGTAAAAAGAGTTTGATGAACAAAAGTTACAATGGCTGCGGGATGCGAACCCGGAACTCTGCGGCAAATTATCGCGTATCTAACTGATTGAACTATAAGATCTTATACTTAAACTTATATCTTATTAAAATTGAAAAACAATATTTTCTAAGATCTATACTTCGAAAAGCGTATTCAAACAAGAATCTACATACCTTTAAAGTCTGCTAGAACTTTAGTAACGTGCACACTTTTAGAAAATATTGAAATAGGTTTATTTTATCAGAAATATGCTTAAGCTAAAGCATATTTTTGAGCCTCTTTTTACTATTTGCTTAAGCATATTCGAACCTGTTTCAAAAATTTCATATGCTTTAAAAAAAAAAAAACATGTATATTTCTACCCATCATTCTTATTTTTAATATACGTAATGAATTCAAAAAACATCGTTATATATATTTATTATGGCACGTTTCGTAAGTTTATTTCCGTTAAGAATTCTTTCGTATGTTGTGATCCGAAATACTTTCGTTTCGAAAGAAATTTTATTTTTTATCAATATTTCTAAAAATAAAACCATAAAAATTTAATATGTTATTATACTGAAAATAAAAATTCATTAAAAACATTTTGGGATTTAAAGATGTTAATTTTTACAATTAAAATCAGTCTGGCAAACAAATTTTCTTTATAGACTTCAAAACGTCGTTTGGCGAAAATGTTTGTTTCGCAAGTGCGACTTCCGAAACCGCTACTTTCGTATGTTGCAAAATAGTTTTGTTTCGTATGTCAACTTGAGAAATGCTAAATTTCGGAAGTGGCTTTTGCGAAATGAACATCGGCGATTTTAAATGTTTTGTAGCATTCGGTACGAAAAAATGTAATTCCTAGTTCTCAATCTCCTTACGAAAGAATGTTGTTTTTCCGGAATTGCACGAAATCCTCCGGTTAACAACCCTAATTTTGTACAAATCACACTAATTTCTTGATTTATCTTTATATAAAAAAACTTTACTCTGGTTTAATTTATAGTCGTCTCACATTTGCTAATATAGAGTAGACTAATACTAACAAAACAAAATTAATCAAAGTTACAAGATGTAAAGCGATTCATTTAATAATGATTTTGAAGTCTGGCATTTTCTCTTTGAGCCATATGCTTTTACTTGATTAGCCAAAAAAATTCCTTTTCTTTCTTGAGCCATTTTTTTGTTTTGTTTGAGAACTTCTTCATTTTACATTTCATTCTTCACGACATTTTCATTCTTGAATAGCCAATCGGAGGTTGATATTACAATAGGATTTCTTTTTCTTTGGGAGATACTTGCGTACTATCTGAAACATAGGTAATATACAGCGAGTTTTGGATTTTGGCACATAGGGTAAAAATGCAACAAGATAATTATTACCGGCTGGTATAATAACTATTTTTTTAAATATCGATGCTTGCAAGTTATAGTGGTGTATTTTAAACATGCTCATCGATATAGTGGCTACAAGCAATCGATATAGTGGCATAATATGTGTGCATCGACATAAACTTTTGATTTATTATCTTCAAAATACTTCTAATAATTTTATTATTACTTTTTTAATAAATTATTATTCATCATTACTATAATTCCTGATATATGTCCATCATTTTATAAAATTGTTTATTAACATTAAATATTATTTCATTAAGCAAAAATATTGCAGATTATATATATATTTTTAACTGTGGGACTATTTTATCATTCTGTTGCGAAATAAACCCACCGTAATCTACTTGGACAAAAACATATTTAAAATATATACCGCAAACGGCAGACAAATTGATGAAGCTCTTACCTTAGCAGCTATTCCCAAATGTAGTTTCAATCGATTTCACAAAACTAATAATAATAATGACACTTAAAGCAAGAGTGACACAATTAATAACATTAAACAGCAAATCTTATTTAAAAGTTACAACAAACAATCAAATTAGGCGGCAACTACAATTAACCAATAGTTATAAGGCTATAATTTTAAAATAATAAATATTTTACATTATCTTAATATGGTGTCATCCTAAAATAACACCTTTTTCTTGAAATATTAATAGTGGCGAAATCACCACGATCTACCCTACTAAAAGTTTTGAAAAAAAGTTATAAAAAACTTAAATATGAATATCGTCATTTAAACGGCAACAAAAATTCCATTTTGGTTTGTAAAAATAATTGCAATAAGTTTAAAAAAAAAACTTATTATTAAAATAATAATAACAATAATAATAATAATAGCAACAATAACAATAATAATAATAATAACTGTATAAATTGTAATTACAAACAGCTCCACCGAAAGGAAGGGGCAAATAGGGCATATGTGCCCCGAGCGCCAAGATCGTAGAGGCGCCAGAAGACGAAAGACAAAAATTAAAAATTTTAATGAAATTTTAAGTACAAAAAAAGTATATAAGTTGTTTTTATTTATGAGTTATAATATAAATTTATTTGGTAATGTGCGTAGTAACTAACTTAATTTTTATTACCAAACAATTAAAGTTTTAAAAATTTATTTTTTTACTTTAGTTGGTGGGGACTAAACAAACAAAAGAGTTTAAATGTAAATGAATTCGATGTAAATAAATGTGAATGACTTCGATGTAACCGATTGTAACTTAAATAGGTAAAGAACTCTAAAAAGTATACTTTTAGAACCCTAATTTAAAGCTCCGATCATTAATTAAAACTTCGAAGTCCTTAATTTATCTTGAGGTCTTAATTTACCTCTGCATCGGTCATTAACTTTTTTATATTTATGCGCAATATAGAATTTATTCAACGGTAGAATATTTGTCTGAAAATGAAGTCGTTTGTCATAAGAAAAGCGCTTAAACTTTAAAGCGTTGATCAAAGTAGATATGTGTGTTTTAATAAAATATATATATTTTTTAATAAACTTTTTTTTTCAAATATATTTATTTATAATAAATTTAATAAGTAAAATTAGCCATATTATTTGCAAAATTAAATTAAAATACATGTTTTTATTATATAATAATTTATTTATTTATTGGTTCACTTCTCAATTGTAATTGTTCAATCATCAATGGTAAATTGCCGAACAATGTTCCTTAAACTTCTTTATTAGGCTATTGCTGATCGTACATAACGAGTAAGAATCTTATAAAATTGAATCCTCAATTATCTTCTTCAAATATATAATTAAAGTATTTTCTAAGCACAAACTACTTTCAAATATGATTTCTTTGTTTAAAAAGGTGTTTATTTTTGAAATCAGGTTAAAAAATACTTTTTTATGCTGAAAAATGTATTATTCATAGGATGAAGCATAACAACGTTTTGCCTAATGGTCATTTCCATAAACACTGGCAAAATTACGTTAGAACATGGTTTAATCAACCAGGTCGCAAAAAGCGAAGACGTACTGCACGTCAAAAAAAAGCTTTAGCTATTGCGCCAAGACCTGTTGCTGGTAGTTTACGTCCAGTTGTCCGTTGTCCAACTTTTAAATACCATACTAAAGTCAGAAGTGGACGAGGGTTTACTTTAGAGGAACTTAAAACTGCGCAAATTAAACTACGATTCGCTAAAACAGTTGGTATTGCTGTTGATCACAGACGAAAAAATAAGTCAACTGAGTCACTACAGGCAAACGTGCAACGTCTCCAAGAATATCAAAGCAAGTTGATTATATTCCCACGTAAGCAAAATAAGCCTAAGGCTGGTGACAGTGAGGTTAGTACTTTATTATTCTAGTTAAACATTTAATTATTACTTTTTAGTTAATAAGCTGTTTAAAATATTCTATTAAATTTTTAATTAAAAATGACTAAACTATATAAAGTTTATCAAGCAACGATGATAAAATGTCTCGTTCGTATGAATCTTTTTGATTAATAAACGTTTTCTGAGCTTGAAAATTTAGAAAATATACTATTAAAAATGGGTTCTATTAAAAATTCAATTATTCTATAGAAATGACTAAATTATATAAAATTTATCAAGCAACGATGATAAAATGTCTCGTTCGTATGAATCTTTTTGATTAATAAACGTTTTCTGAGCTTGAAAATTTAGAAAATATACTATTAAAAATGGGTTCTATTAAAAATTCAATTATTCTATAGAAATGACTAAATTATATAAAATTTATCAAGCAGCGATGATAAAATGTCTCGTTCGTATGAATCTTTTTGATTATTAAACGTTTTCTGAGCTTGAAAATTTGTAAAATATATATGTATAGAGGCTGTTTTTAAATCTGGTAAAAAAAGTGGTATAAAATGGTACCTCAAACTTAATAAATAGTTAAAACATGGATGGATGCAATTTATTGCTAATGTAAACATCTATCCTTTATTTATAATTTGGTTTCTTATTAGTTTAATATTGTTTAATTGCAAAATATTATTTTGGTATGTAGTTTAGTAGAATTTTATTCTATTTAAAATATAGTTATACTATAGAAATGACCAAATTATATAGAATTAAACAAGCAACGATGATAAAATGTCTCGTTCGTATGAATTTTTTTGATTAATAAAAGTTTTCTGAGCTTGAAAATTTAATAAAAAATGTATAGAGGCTGCTTAGAGTTAGTAGTATGACCTGTTGGCTTATATTGGATAAAATGGGATAAAAATAAATGGATGCCATATATTGCAATTGCAGACACTTCTATCTTCTGTTTATAATTTGTTTATTAATTTAATGTTAATTGATTAAAATTATTTTAGTGCGCAGTTTAGAATTTTTTTATTCTATTATTTAAACGTATTAATGATAGTAACAAATTATTCTTAAAAATCTACACTTGACTAAAAAGTTTCGATTTTTGCACTTATTGGTTAGTAGGGCAGTAACGATATATAATAAAATTTTATTAACAATTGACAATGATGAGTTTATGTCTCGTTCGTATGATTATGTTAGATTACAATAACACTCTCTGAGTCATTTTATTTTAATATTTTTACTTACATAGCTATGAGTAATAATATCTGAAAATTAATTTTTTTATAATAATTTACTGTAGTAATCTTTTTAATAGTAACATAATCAAAGCAGCATGACAGTTTTTTTTCATTATAAACACTCTATAAGTACTTTTTACCAATTGACTATTTATTTTTATTTTTCTGATATATATTAAAATACATTTTTGGTACAAGGATATAAAAGTTTACAAAAACTATTAAATAAAATTGAATATTTGCCAATAAACAATATTACTTTGACTATTTGACATTAAATACTTTTTTCTCTTCAAATAGTAAAAAATTTTTATTGATTACTAATTAAGGATTTCTTCATTTCCTTTGTTTTTTTCATCATTTATTTTGTTACTATTTGTTTTTTTGTTTGTTTTTGTTTTTTCCTCTCGCCCACTCCCTGATAGTAAGTTATACTCTCTTGGGCTGAACAACTTGAGGTAAATTAAAAAAACTTTACATTTACATATTTTGTAAATAGTAGAGTTTTTACATGATTTTTATTAGCGATAAGATCTGTCTTCAACAAATGGCGAGAGGATGTTCTCGTTTAGTTTTATTAATATGCAATGTTTTATTGCTTTTTTTAAAGCTCATAATGAATTCGGATCAAATATTGACTGATGTGCTACATAGTGCATCTAGCTGCACCAAGCCAGCTCTTTGTCTCCAATTGCACAGACATTTAATAACTAAAGCTATAAATTAAAACTTCGATTTAACTTAAATGCATAGTGAAACTGGATCCAAACAAAAAAGTTTTGTTCAAATCTTTTATATACTATATTGTATTTTTATTATTCTTAAAGATTAGATAATTTTTTTTCTGAACTTATTTAAATGCGTGTTAACAGGTACATTGTTATACACAACTATATAAGACATTAAACTAATTTTTATGATGTATCTTTACATTTAGTAAGGGTTCAAACAGAAACATTAATGCTAAAAATATTAAAACAATTAAAAAGAGAAACACGTTTCAAAAATTCACATTATTTTAATTTATAAGTTTAGATATATAATTTATAAATGTATAATTTAATATAAATTTAATACTGTGGAAGCCTAATTAAAACAAAAGTGGCTTTACTTTTGATCAAAGTTAGACATATAGTGTGTGTGTATATGTATGTATGTATATATATATATATATATATATATATATATATATATATATATATATATATATATAAAATTGGGTATTCAGAATCAAAACAAGGAAGTCACTGATTAATAAATGAATATTTGAAAAAATCCTGACCTGTTAATTAAATTTTTTTTTGTGGTGCTAGTGATTAAATTGTCATTTCTTTAGCACATTAAGGTGCAATAAACTAAGTGACTTTTGCATATTGATGTGTATGTTTAAATTTAAGGCAATCTTTGCATTTCTGTTTTTCAAGTGCATTTTGAAACAAGTGTTAATTTTAAAGCATATCCTTCATCTAGTTTGAATGAGGAAGGCAATTTAAAAAAAAGATTTTGAAACTAATGCTATTTTGATTTGCAGGCTTGCATGTAGGCAATGTTATTCCAAAGTATATTGTTATTGCATGTAGCCAAAGCTATTCCATATTTTTTTTTTTTTAATTTTTAAATTATTATTTTGTTGACTCATAAATTCTTAAAATGACCAAATGCCTGATAATTGTTATTAACAAATAATTGTTTTAATTAGTTTGTGAGAATTTGTTATATTTTCAGGTTGTATATTGTTTAGTGATTTAGAAATAGTTACTTTTTTTTAAATTGCTTCTATTTAATATATTTTTTATTTCGATATAGGCTTCCGTTCTTACCGTTGCTACTCAATTGAAGGGTCCAGTTCTACCTATCACTCAAATTAAGACAGACACAAAAGCACGTATGATAACAGATGAAGAGCGTAAAATAAGTGTTTTCAGGTCTATGCGAGTTGCTCGTGCCAATGCTCGTCTTATTGGCATCCGTGCTAAACGTGTTAAAGACGCTGAAGCGGACGCTGCAATGAAGGCTAAAAAATAAATCCTCTATTAATATATCTAGTATTTATTTTTAAATGGTTTTCGGCATTTTCCTTGTCGGTTGCAATTGTCTATTCACAATTGTTTAGTTGTTAAGTTAAAAGTAAACTAAAAAACGTTCCAGAGATTCGAGCATAGCCCTATTAAAGCTCTTAATAAGCAATAATTTTAATTTATTTCATTAAGGATCCTATGATTTCTGAAATTTAACAAATTTTTAATTCCAGTCGTAAAACAATAAGCGCATTCTTAAAGTGTTGGGTTTAATCCATTAAAAATGATTAACTTTTTCGTTAGTCGTTGCATACCAAACGTCACTCCATTACTAAATAAGAAAATAGGCTTATTTATAAAAAAGCGTTAAACCTGTTTTTTCATAGGTTACAAATTTTTGCATCTATTTAAAAGCTAAGTAATCGGGTTTTTATTGAAGAAAACTAACCGGATTATATTTAAAAATCAGTAAGCGCCGCACCATACGTCGCGAAGCGGAAATAGGATTTTACTTTTAAGAGAAATTTTTTCAATTTTAATATTTTAAATACTTTTTAACTGAAACAAGTTAGTATTAGTTAATAAAAAAAAGTTTTTTTAAATTTGCCTTTTTAGGTGCGGGATTTTCAGGGGTAAAAAAACCCGCGTATTCACTATATCTTTGAATTACATAAGATAATTTTCAAATTTCAATTTTTTTTTTGCACATTTACTAATAAATGATACATTTTGTAAATTAAAAACCAAGAAAAGAAAAAAAAAATGTTTGGATCATTGTTTTTGGGTGTCTATATTGATTAATCGATTAGACCATGTTACTGCAGAGGTAGCCAGTTTTTTATTTTTTTAAAATTTTCTCAAACAAATTGACTTTTTATAAGTGAAATAATATTCTGGCTACCTCTGTAGTAACATGCTATAAAATCAATTGAGAAGAGGTGGATTTATTAAAAACCGGTTAGTTAGTTTTTGTTCTGAAAAAACTGGATGCGGGCGGAACTTTCTTTTAAGTTATAACCTAAGTTCGGCTCTCATCGCGATTTAAGCCCGTTCTCCATTCAGAACTTTTTGCGCTTTGGAGGAGCGGAAAAGTTCTTTGAGCATGCGCAAAAAGTTCTGATAGGAGAACGGGTTTTAAAAAACTGTTTGCGCATGCTCAAAGAACTTTTCCGCTCCTCCAAAGCGCAAAAAGTTCTGAATGGAGAACGGCCTTTAGAATTTTTTAAATGGTTACTTTTAATCTTAGCAAACTTCTGGCTAATGATTTTCCTCCAAGGCATATTTTCACAAGTAAAAATGTATCTAAAGGTGCTATATTTTTGCAGTCCAAGTTTTTATCACTTTATGCTGATTACACTGTGAATTTCAACATTTTCAAAAGTCTGGCTTTTAATTTAATAAAAAAATTTAATGAGTGTGGAAAAAGAAAAGTGTTCTTTCTTACTAGATATAAACATTTTTTGGATCAAAATCAACAATGCAAATATCTCTTGTGAGTATAATATATTCTATAATGATTTATTATAAATAAGTAATAAATATTGCATATATATATATATATATATATATATATATATATATATATATATATATATATATATATATATATATATATATATATATATATATATATATATATACTATCATGCAATATTTATTACTTATTTATAATAAATCAATATAGAATATATTATACTCACAAGAGATATTTGCATTGTTGATTTTGATCCAAAAAATGTTTATAATTAGTAAGAAAGAACTTTTTTCTTTTTCCACACTCATTAAATTTTTTTAATGAGTATATATATATACAGGGCCGGCGCGAGTAGGTGTCACGTGGGGGGGTGTCATTACAACTTTTGCCGACTAAAAAAAAAAAAAAAAGGTCCTCGTTTTCCAAAAATTGCCGACTGTCATGACGACATTTGCCGACTGTCTAACCTATATCGAAAGGGAGTCCACATTTGCCGACTAACTAGGTCCAATTTGCCGACTAAGGGTCCAGTTTGCCGACTAAAAATCATTGATGAAGGGGGGGGGTGTCACACACCCCCACACCCCCCTATCGCGCCGGCCTTGTATATATATATATATGTATATGTATATATATATATATATATATATATATATATATATATATATATATATATATATATATATATATATATATATATATATATATATATATATATATATATATATATATATATATTAGACTTGTGCGTGTAGATTAGAAAAAGATTCTGAAAAAGAGATTAGAACACATGAGGAAGAACTGCTATTAATTAGAAAAGGTGAAAATCTGATTAACCAGGGTAATCAACTTATCAAGTAGGGTGAGTGTAAAATAAAAGAAGGGGAATTACTGCTTTGTACTCATGGATCCAATGTTAACAGGTATGCATAGATAAATGTATCTCCCTCTCTTTATTTTGCACACACACACAAATTGTTTGACTATGTTTCACAAAACCTTCAAAATGTATATATGTTTCAATGTATTTTTATATTATTTATAGTGTACCATGTTGAGTACCTAATTCATCTGCAGTCAATACATCTTGTACACCAAAATCTAGAAAGTCTTTTATTAAGCTTACAAACAGGATGAAGCGTAAAAGAACAGATAGTCTTAGAGAGCAAGAGGTGGAAGAACTGCAACATGCTGTCAAAAGGTTCAAATCTAATTCTTCTACTGATGGTAGGGCTATTTTATATGGTTCAAATTTGTCATTGCAAGCTCTTTGTAATTTGAAACTTACAGATAGAACATGGACTGAATTTAAAAATATAGTGACTCATAATTGTCATCTTGTTTCTCCAGGTTTAACCAAGTTGAAGCAATACAAAAAATTGACATATCCAGAACAGGTTGAATATTCTGAAACCGAAGTAAAATGTTGTCTTTTCCATATGATAAAGCATTCAGTTTCTAGAGTGTTTGAATATCTTTTGGATTATGAAAGTAACTGCATAATGAGTTTATCACAAGAAGAGTGTGATAATATACAAATTATTTGCAAAGTAGGAGGTGATGGTCAAAGTGATCAATCTGAGTTTCAAAATTCAGCAACTATGAAAAGAGGTGTAGATGATCGTTCTGTGTATAGTATAGTGTTTGTACTGCTGGAGATCCGAAGTGGAGAAAAAATAATATGGAAAAATTTAATTCCATAGTCCAGATGCAACCCTTCATCTTCTTTTTTGTTTTGCAAAAGAGACTGCTAGTTTTATTCAGGAAAAATTTGAACATTTGAAAAATGAAATTTTTTTATTGAAGAATATTGAATTTAAACTTGGTGAAAGTACTTTTGTAGTAAAGTCTAGTTTGTCAACTATTTATACCACAATGAATGATGGCAAAACACTAAACGCTGTTGTATCAAATATGCTTAAAAAAAAAAATTTCATCTCAGTCCTGCCATGTATGCCTTGCAAATTCTAAGGAGTTTAACTTGAAAACTATTTGGAAAAAAAATATTAATTTAAACAAGCATGTTTTGAAACTTGGAATTTGCAGTCTTCATCTATGGATGCGCTGTATGGAGTGGATTTTCAATACTGCTTGTAAACTCCCAGCTGTTAAGCAAGGAAGAAATATTGCATCACAAAAGAGTAAAGAATTTATTGAAAACAAAAAAAATTCCAGCATTTATTCAAGATACAACTGAATATAAGGGTTTCTTTTGTCAGGAAAGGATGTGGAACAACCAATACTGGAAATGTTACTCGCAAATTTTTTAATAACCCGATTGTGACAGGAAGATTTTTAAACTTGGATATCAGAATGATTAGGTTATTTCGAGATTTACTCTTTGATATAAACAGAACAACTACAAGACCGGATATAAAGGTTTTCAAACAGAAATCTAAACATCTATTTGCACTCATAACTAATGATAAATTTTTAAAAACCATACCTATGTCACAATCTGTGCATAGACTGATAGTTCATGGTACTTCTTTTATAAGGTATTTTAAGTATCCGATATGTTCTTTGTCTGAGATTGCTATTGAAGCCAGAAATAAGGAAAACAAAACTGCTCGAATTGGTCATGCTCGTTTAATCTCTTTTGCAGAAAACACTAGGAATACAGCTAATTATTTGTTTATGACATCTGATATGTACCTCTTTTGCAAAAAAAACAAAATGGATAAAAAAGAGTGAAAACAAAATAGTTTAAGAAAGCAAAGTGACAGTTCTTCTGATAACTGCTTAAAATAAAGGTAAAATAGTTTTATTATTAATATTGTTAATAGTTTTGATTGATTTTTTTTTGGTTAGGCAATCTCATAATTTTGGTTAATTAACAATTCAAAGTTTCGTTTTTTTTTTGTTTTTTTTTATGTTTTTAAAAATAAATTTAAGAAATAATTTAATCAATTTTAACAAGTAATTAACTATTTTAGGAAGTAGGACCATGAAGAACCATACTGATGAGCTGTTCTGCGTTGAATTTTTAAAAAACGGCTATTTTTATAGCCACAAGTTATTAAAAACATCTATTAGAATAGAACGTTGAAAAACTGTGAAAGAATGCAAAGAGCCAAGTATCATATGATAGCAGAGTTGTTTATTATATTCAATGATATTGTTTATTTTGAAATAGTGTTCATATACATAGTTAGTAAAATTCTATAAAATATAGGCGCCTACTTTTTTTTGAATAAAATCATCCGGACTTGTGTAGTTTTCCGGACAAATCTAGAATTAGTCCGGACTAACCGAAAAAAATACAGTAAATTATTTTTTTATGAAAACCGAATATGATTCTTTTAAATATAGAAATATAAATAAAAATTCGATGTCTTGTGAAAAAATAAGTTAAATATTTTAAGTCCTTCTTTATTTATATGCCTATTTCCTCATTTTGTATATAAACATCGCAAAGTGCGCCAATGCGATCTTTTTTTCCGTATACCATCTAAACAATTTGAAAAATTATAAACAACCGCTATATTGCTTAAACATGCACGTGCGTTTTGACAATTTTTTTTTATTTTGAAAATATGAGCTTTTTAATTCGATTATTTAAATGTTTTTATTTTAAAACATTAAATATACTTTAAGGTAAATGAGCAAAAAAGAAAAGTAGAAATTTTAGTTTACTTTTATTGATTAAAATTCAATTAATATTTTGTATGCATTTGTTTTCTTTTGTAACTGATATAATAAGTTATAATTTATAATTCTCAAATGATAATATATACTATAATCGAGTTAAACTTTACTAAATTATAAGATAAAGAAATTATATAGTGTTTATTAAATGTGTTGAAAATAAAAAAGCATGATTTAGTTTTATAAATTAAACTAAAATATGTTCTATTACTGGACGTTTACAATGATCTCACTGAGTGAGTCGCTGTAAATTACTCTAAGATTTTGGGTTTTCCAGTAAATTCTAATCCCTGTTCTAAGTGTCACTGTAGTTTACATAAATTATATACACTACACTCTAATTTAAAACAAGTATAAATTACACTGTACTTTATAATTTATGTAAATTACAGTGAGATTTAGGATCGCCCGGTTATAAAATAAATGTATAATTTATTTGTACACATTAATTATTTGAATAAAAGGAATTTATTTTCTGATTGAAAATTTTCATAAATTATTGAACTCTCATTCAATTAGACATATAGGTCTTATATCCATTACAGTTCAAACATAAATTATGCCATAATATAATTTATGTTCTGTTGTCCATTAATATTGTATAAATGATCTGTCAAATATCTTATTATTGCATAAATGATTATCAAATTTTATTACAAATTGTGCTGTAACTTGCTTAATAGAATTTTACAGTTATATGACTATATTGTTGTTCAGTTATTGTGCGTTGCTACCTAAAACACTTATAATCCAATAGAATATATGATCAAAGTATAAGAGTCACATAATAATCAAATTAAAATTTTTATATAAGTACCACTGTTAGCCGAAACTGACATTTTAAAACTGGTCACAATTTTTTAGGCAATCCTTGTAATCAAATTTTGTTACTTAAATGAACATATATTTTGTTATGAACTTTTCACTATTTTCATGCTGATTTTAGCCTCTTTTCAATGATATATAATAATCAATAATAAAAATAATTTAAAATTTTTATACACGTGCCTACATTAATAAAAAACAAATAACAGATTTCTGTTGCACATAAACCTTGACTTCAAAAATACCTCTCTATCTTTTGATTTAAATGCTGTTGTGACATTTTCATGCATAGCTATGATAACTGTCACTAGCCAACCTTTACACCACACTACCTCTCGAGCTACTCTGTCAAAAGGTTTTTCTCCATCCATAAATCTTTATCTTTTTTTTTTTTAGTATTTCCTGAACTTGACTTACAATCTATTGTTCCTTTACCTGACCAAGAATCAAGCTGCATGTGATCAATAAATAAAATGCCTTTTACTTTGTTTGCAACGATATTTTCTAAAAAACCTTCATTACTTAATCAAGTAGTTTTATTCCTGAGTATGAACCTTTTCTAGTGGCTCGACCTGCTTTATAAATCCTTACCATCCATTTTTTCTAACCCATCTGATAGGTAACTTTACTATATTTTATCGGCTATGCTGGTTTACTAAATTTGTTTACTACCTTCATAAGGTACACACATAAGGCTTATGTGCGAAAAATTAATATATTAAAAATTAACTTAACACAAATTTTAATAAAATTCAATTTACATTTTTAATTCAAAAATAATTAATTTTTAATTTTTAAAAAGAATATACTTAAAATAAAGTTATTATTTTTAAACAAAAATACTTAACTTCTACATAGGAGCAATTGTGTTTATATCTTCGATAGCTTACATCATACTCAGAGCGAAAGCATGTTCAGCCAATATGGCGTTTATGATTACATTTTTTGCCGTTTCTCGTTTAGTTTCAAAATTTACTTTTACCGAAAATGGGAGCCACCGTTTAAATTGGGAGCCACCGTTTACGGAAAAAAAGATCGCAGCGCCAATATAGAGTTTTACATGTTCATAATCGACAAACAATTATAATAATAAGGAGTATCAAATATTAACTACAGTTAGTAAGTTATAAACAAATCTGCTATTTTCTTTTTCGCTAAGGTTACAAAGTTTTTTATTCACAACTTGAAGCTAAGAAAACAGCCGGTTTAAAAAAACTCAAATACTCCTATATTATTTTATTAATCACACTCTAAATTATATTTACAAGGTAAAAATTTAAGGAAAAAGAGAAAATTATCATTTAGGAATGTTTTTTTCAAGTGTGTTTTCAAAAATTGTACGCTTTTTACATTCCAACATAAACCACCTGTACCGAAATATGAAGAGTAGCTTCAGGTAATACACTCTCTAAGTTTTCTATTTAATCAGCATTAAGGTTTTCATATTCAGTTTATGAATATTATATAATCCTTTTAAAAATCCATCTAAAAAGAAGATTTAAGGGTAGAAGATCCCCTTAAAAGAAAGTTGCTTAAATTTTAGCTATCAAACATCAATTGCAATTAAATTTTATTTGATATCAATTGAACTTTTTTTTAATTAGATTTGATTTACATTTATTAGAACGGTGATACAAGTTCTAAAGGGCAAGCAGGTCCATAAAATATGAAGGACTCTGACAACGTGCCCTACAATCACATAATATATATGCTAGATAATTTAAAATATATTACAATTTTATATAAGACCATAGTTATAAAACAAAAACCAGTTAGCCGGAACAGTATTTTTTAAAGTCGATTGAGTTAATTTATTTAAGAAAATATACGTTATTTTAGAAAAATTAAGAAAACCTTTTACGTTAGTTTAATTCTCTCAACTAATGACTAAACAAACAATAGATTACGAAACGCAACACTTAAATGTTTTCAAATCGGCTAATAACTTTTTTCTTAATAACTCATACGATCCAGATTTGCATTTTTTTAATGAAAATAAATTTAACTCGCGGTTTTTTGAATTAGAAATTTTAAAAATGAGTTAAAATCATTAAATAATAACTTTACAGTGATACACATAAATATAAGAAGTTTAATTAACAATATTGACAAACTAAAGCATTTTCTTATAGAATGTAATTATTTGTTCAGCATGATTTGCTTAACAGAAACTTGGTGTTCTGACGAATCATCCAGAATAAATTCAAACCTGATAATTCCAAACTACAAACTATTATCTTATGAGCGAAAAATTCAAAAACGAGGAGGTGGAATTATGACATACATTCATAATGATCTGACAACCAAAATTAGAGGCGATCTTTCGATTTCTGATGCCGATAGTGAGGTCTTTACAATTGAAATAATAAACAAAAAATTAAAAAATATAATAGTGCCCGCCTGTTACAGACCACCCGAAGGTGATATAAAAAACTTTTCAAATCACCTAAAACAAATAATTCTAAAAAATGACGAAGAGCACAAAATATTATTCTGTATTGGTGACATAAATATAAACTGCCTACAATATAATGATGTTGCTGTAACCAAAATTTTTTTTGACGATATGTTTCAATACTTCATCTTTCCTATAATAAACAAACCAACCCCGGTAACATTAAATTCAATCAGTGCAATAGACAACATTTTGACTAATTCATTTTATGATTCTTCATTAAAAGCAGGTGTAATCAATACGGATATATCCGATCACTTTACGATATACTTTTCCTTTTTTTAAGATACAAAAAATAACAACTCTAAAATCAAAGTCTATAAACGAAAAATTAATAATTTTACTATTCAACAGT